ACCGTATTACATCATTACATAATTGCCAAACCACTGAGAATCATAACCCAACCAAGTTGACACATATTCTGAGAGGACACAATTCAGTCCATGAAAGCACCAAAGTCCTTTGAATCACATATTAAGAAATCTTCCCATCTTTCAAAGTGTTACTAATCTGATTTTGCCTCTAACAATATCACTAGATCACTAGATCTATTTTTTACTTTATTTTATTCATCTGAACAGAGTCCGTTCTCACTGATACTGGACGTTAGAGTCAATTCATACTTACGTTCTGAATATTGTCAGAATTTATAATGCAAGCTTACAGCACTCATGTTTATTGGTAATAAGCATAACAGAAATGTGTCCACCTCAGAGCTGATCTGGAACCCCAGACAACACTTTCAGGACTCCAGGGGTCGATCAGGGTAAGGAAGAGTAAGAGTGGCAATTGGTTTACAGTAGGTGAAATTTTTGGTTTTGATGGTAGCATGCACTCTGACCTCTGCTTATGCCATATGAACAGGACAGCAGTAGGAGAAACAATCACTCACTACCTTTCACCAGAGGTGGAGGGTGGGGTGGCACAGGGAGGCAACCTTCCCTTAAGGGACACACTATGAATGCTGTTGTTGTTAAGTGCTGTCCAGTCGGTTCCAACTCATAGTTACCCTGTAGAGGGTTTCTGAGGAGCAGCTGGTAAGCTTGAACCACCAACCTTGCAGTTCAAACTGACCTTGCAGTACTCCAACAGTATGAACAAGTATTGTTAATAACTAAAAGCAGGTCTTCCTAAGACATTGTCATCCCAGCATTAGGTATCAGGATTCTCCAGTGCTTCAGTTCCAGTCACGGGGCTCCTGCTATGCATGTAATGTGAAGACCGACGACGGCCATTAAGTCATTATGCTGAATGCAGGTAGCAAGTCTTGATTAAGAGCATTGGTAACAAAAGAACCCCAGTGAGAGCGGGATGCAATAGAGGACTTCAGTGCTGATGGGATGAGATCGGGGGAGAATAGCTTTGTCTATTAACTTCAGGGAACTCAGGTCTTGCCACCTAAAGAGTGACACCTGATGCCTCAATTGTAGGGAAATAAATCTTCAGTAAACCTCAGCTCTCAAGTAGGCTGTTTGGAAGGTGAGCGAAATCCCATCAAGCCCATAAATGTTTTCCTTTCTAGGGACTGAAATGCCATCTCTGGGTACTTACATTTTCGTGAATGGCAGATTTAACACTTGAGACCATTGAAGTTTCATAAAATGATGAGTCCTTGGCCTTGTTGACACAACACCCTGTGAAGAGAGCTATTGTAGTCTGAGTTGTCATAATAACATGATTAGAATCAAGTGGTGACCCAAGAGTTCAGACCTGGTACCCTAGAAAAGGAGTCCTGTGTGTGGCGCTTCAGGATAAGCACTGGATGGCTAACTGCAAGACTGGCGGTTCAAATCCACCAACCACTCCTTGCAAACCCTATTCCAGGTTGCTGTGAGTCAGAAACAACTCAATGGCACTTAACAACAACCCTAGAAAAGAAATGGCGATCGCTTCTCTCTTTTTATTTTGGTGGGGTTTAGGAGAGAACTAGGAAAGGTAGAATCAGATGGCCGCAGAAAAAGATTTCCTGGTCACTGAGCAGTTAAAAAAGCAATAGCTGCTGAGACAAGTGTGACTCCTGGTGACCCCATGTGTGTCCAAGTAGAACTGTACTCCACAGGGGTTTCAGGTCTGTCACCTTTTGGAAGCAGATTCCTAGGTCTTTCTTTCATAGTGCCTCTGGGTGGGCTGTTGTTAAGTGCTTTCGAATCAGTTCCGACTCATAATGACCCTGTATAGGGTTTCCGAGGACCTACTGATGAGTTTGAATCACCAACCTTGTGGTTCAAACCAACCTTATGGTCTAGTGCTTTATCCTGCAGCAACACACCAGGACTATAGGTGGGTGGGAACTGCCAACCTTTGGGTTAATAATTGGGTGCTCATTTGTGCTATAAGGGACTCCCTGGAAATTAAAACCTGAACAAGTATAACAAAGAAAAACATTATCACCATCAATTACTGTTTCTAGCTTATAGCAATGGAGGGCTTTGGTGACCTTCATGTGCAATGCTGACAGCCCATGAGAAGAGCTGCTGTCCTTCAGGAACACACATCCTACTGCCCTTGAGTTGATTCTTAGCCACAGTGACCCTGTTAGGGTTTCCAAGGCTGCAAATCTTTAAGGAAGTAGAATGCTTCATCTTTCACTCCAAGAATAGCTGGTGGGTCCAAACCACCAACCTTTCAGTCAGCACTTAACCACACTTAACCCACTGCACCACCTGACCATACCTGTTGTTGTTCAGGGCTCTTCAACACACCGGCTGTTGTCATTATTAAGTGTCATTGAGTCCAGTCTGACCCTGTATAGAGTTTCTAAGGAGCAGCTGATGGGTTTGAAATGTGAACCTTGCAGTTAGTAGGTTCCTACATTATCTATCACATTAGGACCCCTGAACACACTTGTAGGATTATAAAATAGCAAGTTCCTTCTGGACCCACAAGGAGGGATGCTCTTGGGACTATATAGTTGCAGAATCGTGTTAGCACCTTTTCTTCCATGCAACTCAATATAGCGCAGGGAAGGAAGAATCTTTGCTTAGTGGAATACAGAAAAAGAAGTTTCTCTCCATTTTTTTGAAACCACAGGTAAAATTTTAGGATAAGCACTGGACTGCAACCCAAAAAGTCATTAGTCCAAGCCCACAGCAGCTCCACAGAGAAAAAGGAGGCTTCCTGCTCCCGCAAAGATTGTGTTACTGTTGTCATTAAGTACCGTTGAGTCGATTCCAACCCGTAGCAACCCTGTATGAGGTTTCTGAGGAGCAGCTGGTGAGCTTGAACCATCGACCTTGTAGTTCAAACTGACTTTTCAGTTCAGTTCATTAACCCACAGTGCCATTCCATGACTTCTGCAAAGATTTACAGCCTTGAAAATCCTATATAGGGTCACTGTGAGTTGGAACTAACTTGATGGCACTTAACAAAAACAGCAATCAGAACCTGGCCAATCTCTGGGAGAGCTCTAAGGAGAACATACTCTAAATTTCAAATTAGAAGTCATTTTTACTTAGAAATATTATATAAGACGTAATTTAATATTGTATACTATTACTTAGAAAACTATACAAAAAAAGCGAACTCTGGTAGCATAGTGATTAAGAGCCAGGTCAGCAGTTCAAAACTACCAGCCATTCTGCGGCAGAAAGATGAGGCTTTCTGCTCCCATAATGATTTACAGCCTCGGAGACCCTATGCAGGATCACTATGAGTTGGAACTGACTCCACAACACACCACCACCAGCGCTTAGAAATATACAAGTAGTAATATTGGATACTGGTAGCATAATGGTTATGAATCGGGCTGCAAACCTCAGGGTCAGCAGTTCAAAACCACCAGCTGTTCCGCGGGAGAAAGATGAGGCTGTCTGATCCCGTAAAAATGTACAGCCTTGGAAACCCTGTGCAGGGTCACTATGAGTCAGAACCGACTCCACGGCACATAACAACAACAATAATATTGGATACTACTACTGATTTAAATTTAGCAATCTCACCCTTACTTACTATAACAAAATTTCATTTGAAATACACTACCAATCAATACAAAAATGGGATGTGTTATAGGGATTATTTTAGAGAAGCTAAATAAAAACTCACTGTAATAATTTTCTCACTGTGCATAGCAAACAAAAGCCATCATTTTGAGCATAGATACAAGACAGAGGGATTTTTTTATATGTGTGCTCAGAAAGAGAGAAGTATTCTGCAGTTTTGCAACACACTGATGCATATGGTCATTTTACTGTTTTCAATAAGCATTTAACCAATCTTTACAAAGACCTCTTAACTCCACTGTTTTTCACAAAGGAATGAGTGCTTTAGCCTTTTGAAATATTTCTAAATGGCTATGTAGCACAATATAGTTACATAGTGTATCCGTTATGCCAGGAGTACATTTTGTTGTTACAAGTTTGAAAAGCATAAAGACTTCTGAAATTGAAATATTTTCCCCAGATGTTTGATTGACTAAATACAGGCTATATTAAGGAACAGAGGCAAAGCAACCCTTGTGGTTTCATAGGCACCCTACCACAGCCCAAGCTCTTTTAGAATCCTCCAAACAAAATCTAATTTGTTTCATCCAGCAGAGAGGTCATTTCTAGCTTCTTACTTGAAGGAGTAAGAAGATCTGATAATACGAATTGTGTTTCTTACTAAAATGTATATCCGCTTGGGAAGCAAATCATTGACGTTCTTTCTAGTTAACAGTCTTTTAAAAATATTCATCTCGGTTCAAGTAAACTTACATATTTTTAGTAGGGTTTACACTTTCTTTGTATGCAACTCATTAAAGGTAAAGCTGTCACCACCCCCACCCACATAACAGAACACTTCACTTTTTAAGTCAACTTCTTGTCCTTAATATAAAGTCCATTTCGAGCTCTCTTTCTGTCTAGGCTCATAATCTAAAGTTACCAGGAGCTAATCTAGACTCTGGAGTCCTGCTGTGGCGCTGTGAGCTAATGTGTCAGACTGCAAAGTCAGTTTGAACTGCTAGGTCGGTGGTTCAAACTCACCAGCTGCTCCTTGAAAACCCTATACGGGGTCACTATGAATCAGAACTGACTCGACAGCACTTAACAACAACAATCTAGACTCCTGGTGTGGCACTGTAGGATCAGCACTGGACTGCGAACCACAAGGTTGACAGTTCAAATCCATCAGCTGCTCCTCAGAAACTCTATACAGGGTCACTGTGAGTCGGAACCAACTCGATGGCACTTAACAACAACAATCACGCTCTATTGCCTGAAATTGGGGAGTACACTCAGACTCTTATCTTCCTTTCCGTTCCCTGCTCACCATCCCAGAACTCTCAAACCTCAGTTTGAGAAACATTCATTTTTCTAAGTTTGTAAAAAGTATCAATCTTCTAATTTTGCACTAATCAAAAATATTTTTTCCCCAGAATTATCAAGAACATTGGTCTCAACAAGAAAACACAAAATCAAGCAATATGCTCAGACATCAATCTTCCGAAGCACTTGATGGTCAGCAGACTTCCAGAAGACCAGCCAAACATAAGATTCGAAAACAGCATAAACGCCACAACAGCCTGAAAGCGTTAAAGACGAAAGTGCTAGTTGCCAGTCAAGGGAGCCAGGATAATACATTCAGACAGCAGTATAACCAAAATAAGCCTATTGACACTCCAATAAAGCATGAATCCGTTCTGATTATGAATGCCCCTAACAATGGTTTACAAGACTCAAGTGCACTTAGGAGCCAGAATCTCAAAGTAACCTCCAATAAGTTTGCTCCACCAAAGCAGGCATTCAGCAAAGTACCATATAACAATTCTACTGGCTATCACTCAGAGATGAATATTAATGAAGAGAGGGGACACAAAGACCAAGAAGAGAAAGGATTTTCATACCAGCAGCTATATGTCAGTGCACTTCCCAATATGGACTTGAACTACGTTAATGAATTTTCTAAGAGACAAGCGCCCCTGAGTCAGAAAGGCTCTCAGCCTGTTTATAACACAAATGTTAATGGAGCAACTACAAATAAGAAGCAACCCAAAAGGATTTATACAGAGACAAAATATAAGAACTTAGAAATGTTATGGTAAGAATCCCCTTTTCACCGTGGTCTTCTAGGAGGGAAATGATAAGCTGTTGGTCAAAGACAGGAGGTGGAGAATGGAAAGGGGCAGTGTTTGGGATGGTCAGGAGAAAGGAAGAATTAGCTTCACACCTCCCATGGCTCTGGTTCTTACCTAAAACAGTTCCCCTTTTGATATGTTTTTTATCTTTTCCCTGTATACTGTACTTTTCCCATCATACGTAAACTACAAACTGGAGGGAAAGAGAGAATGTCAGAAAAACCCAGTCCAAGTCAGTATATTTTGAAGGTTGCAAGTAATGTTTGGAGGAAATAAATTATCTCTGCATCCTGATGTGGCTCTGTAGAATAAGCACTGGATGGCTAACCAAAAGGTTGCCGGTTCAAACCTACCAGCCGCTCCTAGGAAACCCTATGCAGGGTTGCTATGAGTCAGAACCGACTCAACAGCACTTAACAACAACAACAATACTATCATGACTTATCCTAAGAAATTATCTAAAATACAGGCAAATAAGTATGCGTCAGATTAGCGTAATTTACAAAAATGATCTAAAAGAGTAGGAAAATATTTAGATAAATTATGATAGTTAATATCACATAAACATTAAAATTATGGCCTGAGGAAATGCTTCTATAAAAAGAAAATAGTATGTGGCACAAAATTACACCAAAGGTATTCTACTATGTTAAAATATGCATTGAAGACGAGAAATGTAAAAATGTCAATAGTGGTTATCTCTGGCAAGAATAATTGGGATTATGTTTAATTTGTTTAAATAGTCTCAGAATTTTCCCGTTGCCTACAAAGTAGATATACTACTATAATCAGGAAAAACTAAAGCTATTTTTTACAGTATTTCAAGAGACATTTATTGATGTCATTGAATCAAATTATTATTCAGCTAAATTGTGCTGTCCTGGTGTGGTGCTGTGAAATAATGCACTGGACCGGAAGATCAGTTTGGACTTCGGGGTTAGTGGTTCAAGCTTACCAACCACTCCTTGGAAAGCTTATATAGGGTGTCTATGAGTCAGAGCCAACCTGAAGGCACTAAACAACAAATTGTGCTGAATGTGGTGCTAAAATTACATGGAAGAAACAACAGCGTAATGCATGGGAATCTTCAAGGAGCTTATTTTCATGGTGGTGGTGTTGTTAGGTGCCATCTCATCATTTCCAACTCATGGTGGCCCTGCATAGGGTTTCTGAGGAGTGGCTGGTGACCTTATAGTTAGCAGTCCAGTGCTTGTCTTATAGTGCCACACCAGGACTTCTACTTTCATGATAATGGGACCACTTTACACATATGAATAATCAGAAGACATGTAAGTGCTAGATTTGATGATAAGAAATATACATTTTATAAGATTCAGAGTTAGCATCCTAGAGGAGAGCATGATAGATGGTGGGCATCCTTGTCTTTTTTGATCATTTTAGAGGGATTGCTTCTTAACATTTTTGCTATTAAAAATCATACTGGTTTTTGGTAGATTAGGAGATAAAATTGCAAATTTCCTCCTATTCCTTTTTACAAAGAAGGTGTTGTGTTTGTTGTTGGGTTTTTTTTTAATCAAATGGGAATTGAATTTTATCAATTACTTGTTTTTACATTTATTGTTTCTTCCATATAATTTTAGCACTACATTTTCTCCTTTAGTCCTTTAATGGGATGTAATACATTAACAGATTTTCTAATGTTACACTGTCTTTTTATTCCTAGGGTTAACCTAGCTTGCCATACTGCATTCTTATTAAGTTACTTGATTCGACTTGTTAACACTGTGTTTAGAGTTTGACCTACAAGTAGCTAAAAATGAGATTGGGTTGTAATTGTCCTATCTACCCTTGGCCTTGGTTGGATGCGTTAGGAAGATTATACCAGTCTTACAAAATGAATTGGGACCTAGTACCTTTTTTATATCCTGTAGGACACTTTATACACAATTGGAATCATCTGTGTATAAAAAAATCATATCAAATATGATTTTCTTGTGAAACTTTAGGTCATATATATTTTTTGTTTTGCTTTATTTTTATTGTTGTTTTTGAGTAGCTTTAGCTCCTATAATTGTTATAAATTTTTACAAACTTTCTATTTCCTCTATGTCATTTTGATCAATTATATTTTCTAAAAACATATTGCTTATTTCTATTAAGTTTTTCAATTTATTAACATAAACTTTTCATAGTATACTTATTTAGCCTTTTATAGCAATAATATGCCCCTCTTATATTGATAGTTACATCCTTTCATTTCTAATATTATATTTTGTCTTATTTTTAATTACTCTTTGCCTTATAAAATCATTAATGCACATAGATTAAAAGGCCAAGTAACAAAGGCTTTTAACAGTGTGTGTTCTGCCTATTCCTCCTCTCTCTCCCCAGTCATTCACTCTACAATGCTTAGCTGTGAATAATAGCTTTGGTATAATAATGAAAATGCTGAATATCAGCAAACCATTTAGACACTTAGCTGTTTTCATCTGGCATTTGTACATATTCATAATTCTCAGTTATAATTATTTACTGCTATGTTTTCTGCACCAATTGTAGATGCTTTAATGGATTTCATACTCCAGTAGATGAAGATTTAGTTATCTTACATTGCCATTACCCATACTACAAAAATATACGTTGCAACTTTTAGTTAAGCCAGTAGTCCATATTTTCATTATTACCCTAATACATCTATTATTCACTCCAGCAATGTTGTTGTTGTTGTTAGGTGCCATCAAGTCGGTACCGACTCACAGTGACCCTATGCACAACAGAACGAAACACTGCCCAGTCCTGGGCCAACCTCACAATTGTGGCCACACTTGAGCCCATTGATACGGCCACTTTGCCAATCCATCTCACTGGAGGTCTTCCTCTTCTCCAGTGACTAGTCTCTCCTGACAATATGTCTGAAGTATGACAGATGAAGTTTGGCCATCCTGGTCTCCAAGAAGCACTCTGGCTGTACTTCTGCCAACACAGATCTGTTTGTTCTTTTTTAGCAGTCTATGGTACTTTCAATATTCTCCTCCCACACCATAACTCAAATGCATCAATTCTTCTATGATCTTCCTTATTCACTGTCCAGCTTTTACATGCATATGAGGTTATTGAACATACCATGGCTTGGGTCAGTTGCACCTTAGTCCTCAAGCTAACATCTTTGTTCTTCAACACTTTCAAAAGGTCTTGTGCGGCAGATTTGCCTAATGTAATACATCGTTTGATTTCTTGAAAGATTTCCATTTTTATTCCATCAATCCTCAGTGCCTTATTGTTTGCCAATTCCTTCAGTGCACCTTGGACTTCATCCTTCAGGATCATTGGCTCTTGATCATAGGCTACCTCTTGAAATTTCAAGGGGTTGAAATGATTGAATGATGTTTTCTGCATCATTCAATAATTTACCCAGAGAATCTTTCAATAACAAATGTCAAGCCTTGAGTTTTTTCTTCAGTTCCCCCAGTTTGATAAATGCTGAGCATGTTCTTCCCTTTTGGGTTTCTGACTCCAGATCTTTGCACATTTCGTTGTAATATTTGACTTTGTCTTCTTGAGCTGAACTTTGAAATTTTCTGTTCAGCTCTTGTACCTCCTCATTTCTTCCACCTGCTTTAGCATCTCCACACTGCAGAGCAAGTTTCAGTGTCTCTTCTGACATCCATTTTGATCTTTTCCTTCTTTTTGTCTTCTTAATGACTTTTTGCTCTCTTCACGTATGATGTTCTTGATGTCATCCCACAACTCTCTGGTCTTTGGGCTTCAGTGTTTAATGTATCAAATCTGTTCTTCAGATGCTCTCTAAATTCAGGTGGGATATATTCAAGGTCATATTTTGGCTCTCGTGGACTTGTTTTCATTTTATTCAGCTTCGGTCTGAATTTGCATATGAGCAACTGATGCTCTGTTCCACAATCTGCCCTGGCCTTGTTTTGACTGATGATTTGGAGCTTTTCTACCATCTCTTTCCACAGATGTAGTCAATTTTATTTCTGTTTATTACCCTAGCAATATAAAATACCATAATTATGTTTCCTTTTTTAGTTTTTCCAGAAGTCAGTAGTTCCCTCAACTCTTTTCTTTTGTTTAAATTTCATTTTATATATTGCTAATTCTTCCCACACTATCCAATTCAAGTTTCCTCTAAGTGCAGGTTCCCACAAGGACAAACACATCAGGTAATCTATCAGTTAGTTTCCCCTGCTTTCTTGGAGACATCTTTTCTAGAGATTTGTACTTTCTTTTTGCTTTGGATCTGCTATGCTCTCTAGACCCACAACAGTTGTTCTCCTGAGAATTCCCATGGTCTTCTTCTGATTTTAGTTCTCTCCTCAGGATCTCATGTTTTCCTTATTTTTCTTGATCACGTCTTCTATTATTTTCTCCATACTAAAAACATGATGTAATGGCAGAATTAGGATGATGGAAACTTCTCAACATGCCTGTATTGTACCTCACTTCTGTTATGGACATATGCCCTCAACACTAGTGTTCATTTCATCATGGAAATTTCCTTTGCTTTTTGGCTTCATTGAACCTCCTGTTTTCTATTTCTTTGTCTTCTTGTCCTACCTTGTTTTCATGGAGAACATTCTCCATTGCTTAGGAGGTAAATGTTTCAAGACCTTGCATGCTTGCATGAATGAAATTGCCCTTATTCTGCAATCATTCTTTTTTTTTTTTTTTAAGTCATTCATTTTCTTTTTGTTGTTGTTGAGAATACACACAGCAGAACATGCACCAATTAAAACATTTACTTTCTTATTATTGTACAAAACCTATGCTGTTTTTGATTTAACCAATTATTTATTAATGTCTGTGCCCCACATTTTTTTTCTTCCATTTTGCTCATTCTTCCTGAAGGATGTCCTCTAAAAGTTCTTTCCACAACTTTATGTTACTAAAAAATTTATCTTAAAATTTCTTTATTTTATTCTTTATCTTGAATTATAGTTAATCTGGCAAAGAATTTAAATTTCTGAAACTATTATTTTTCTGTCTCTTGACTTCTGTGTTGCTTTGAAAAGTCTTTTGTCTCTACCATTGTTATTTCTTTCACTTTTTTTTTTTTTGATTTTTGATTTAAGGTTTTTTGTGTTCTGCAGTTTCACTGTGCTTTATCTAGGTATGAAATTTTTAATCTTGTTTCAGACTCGTAAGTGATTCTAAATCTGGGATTGATTGATTTCTTTCATAAATTCTCAGAAATTAGTACCTATTTTCCTATGAATAGTTGTTGTTGTTGTTAAGTGCTGTTGACTTGGTTCCAATTCATAGCGACCCTGTATAGAGTTTCTGAGGAGCAGCTGGTGAGTATGAACCACCGACCTTGTGGTTCAAATTGACATTTTTCTCACCAAATTTACTATATCTTCTTCCTCAGAAGCTCCAAATAGGTGTATATTAGATTCTATTATACTAGACTTCATGTCTCTTCAACGTTTCTCATTCTCCATCTTTTCTTTGTATTTCTGAGAAACTTCCTCAGGTACGATTTCCAGTGCCGGAATTCTCTCTTTAGCAATGTCCAATACGCCCTTTAATATATCGGTTGAGTTCTAAATTCCAATGATGTTATTTTCTCATGTCTACATGTTTTTTGGTTTTTTTGTTTTTGTTTTGGTTTTGGTTCTCATCAAAACCTTTTCAAAAAAATACTTTCAAAAAAAATATTTTTCAAAACATATATCTTTAAAATACAATCCTTAGAATCTTGTGGGGTTTTTTTTCAATCCTTAGAGTTTTGTTTGCTTCTTTTATGTCTTTACTCACTTAAAACCATATTTTAAAAATGATATTCAATATCTTTTTTTCTGACATTCTTGAAAGTCTGCTACTACTGTATGTTTAATGATTCTCACTCTTACAATAGTAAATTGTTCTTACATATGTCTTGTGATTGTTTTTGGGTCGTGAAATTATATTTAACCACCTTATCTGTGGAAACCAAAGCAGGCACACCCCTCCAGAGAAGTTTCATATTTGTTTCTGCCAGATACCACAGAGCTATATCTAATCCAAACCATTTTCCACAAAGTCCTTGGTATTGGATTCCCATGATGATATGAGCAAAGTAAATTTAAGCTCCAAATATTGTCATATAGAAACTCACAGGGAATTGTGTTTTGTTTCTTTTCTTATTTAGAGTACAAACAGAGACAAGTAGGCTTCCTTTGTTGTTTCTCAAGACTGGCATTTTTATTTATTTATTTTTTTTCTTAAAACGAATCCACCTTTTTACTGAGGATATAACCCTTCAGTAGTCTTCTCAGTTCTGATTCCCTACCTCACATAGGTAAGAAACAAGTTATCTCATATTTACTATACCATATTAAACGTTAAAGCTCAGCTCAACCAGAAGTAAAAAGAAGAGGGGGAAAAAAAAAGTATTCTCATACAATTTGATGAACTTGACCTA